TACAGGGAAGATTATCTCACCAATAAGCAGATGATCCCTGCTAGATAGTTAAAGGCCCAGTGCAGTCAAAAACATGATTTTCCTGTGTTTTATATATATTTCCACACTATGAGGTTGGAATAATCCTGTGAAAATTATGATAATGCTCTTTTAGTATAAGAGCTGTTTGTAAAGACTGCCTGTTTTGGTGGGATGGAGTTTTGGCCTGCCTGGTGACATCACCAGGCGGTAGAAGTTAATAGACCAATAACAAAGAGCGTTTCAAACCTCTGCCAATAACAGCTAATTTTCAGGTGACATATCCCTCCCATTAGGCTCATCCAATTAGGCCCCTCGCTTAGACCACTCCCAGACAGTCCTAAATAAAAAATTGCTCTTTGCTAAAAAGCTACAGTATTTTGGTTTCTTTTTGACCATTTTAATTTAAAGGAAATCACAGTAAGGTACTTAATTGTTACCCAGAAATAATTTGATATTGAGATTTTAAAAAACGGCTGCATTGGTCATCTTCTGAGCCGGCAACAACACGGATTTCCCTGGTGATACTATAATACTACATTACCCAGAGGAAAGTAGCGACACTAGAACACAAGTCTAGCTTCCATGTTGGTGTGTTTTAGTGTGTGATGTTCGGTGAAATCCCCCACTTGGACAGCTTTAAAAGTCTTCTCCCCACACACACCTCTGTAAAACCACTACCACACACACCTCCGTAAAACCACTACCACACACGGTCACACACACCTCCGTAAAACCACTACCACACACAGTCACACACACCTCCGTAAAACCACTACCACACACAGACACACACATTCACCTGAGCAGTAATAGCGCACATTCCTCACTCCAACGGGAGTTATAACACACAATCCTCACTCCACAGTGGGTTTTCACGCTGGGATGCCTCAACTCAGACAGGACATTTAAGGGCAAAGAACAAAGTTTGGTAAGGGTGGGCCGGTGAGCCTGCTCCAACACACAACTGGTCTGAGCCGGTGAGCATGCTCCAACACACAACTGGTCTGAGCCCCCTGTTGCAAGAACGGGGTTTGGTAGGGGAGGGCCGGTGAGCCTGCTCCAACACACAACTGGTCTGAGCCGGTGAGCATGCTCCAACACACAACTGGTCTGAGCCCCCTGTTGCAAGAACGGGGTTTGGTAAGGGAGGGCCGGTGAGCATGCTCCAACACACAACTGGTCTGAGCCCCCTGTTGCAAGAACGGGGTTTGGTAAGGGAGGGCCGGTGAGCATGCTCCAACACACAACTGGTCTGAGCCCCCTGTTGCAAGAACGGGGTTTGGTAAGGGAGGGCCGGTGAGCATGCTCCAACACACAACTAGTCTGTTTGTATCGTCATGAGCTGTGACAAAGATTTAGATCAAGATGGAAATTCAACCAATTTAACAAGGCTACTGGTAAGAATACTTCCCTAGTTGAAGTTGTTAAGTGAGTCCTTTTGAGGCGACTCATTGCAGACAATATTCGACTACTTCATAATTTTAGAAAATGATTTTATTTCAGGGAAGGAGTAAGTTATGCTCTGATTTCATGAGTAGAAAAATCAGGAGAGTAGCCTATTAATCACAATGGATTGATACATATCTGTTATGCTAAGTTAAGCAGAGGACCAACACACACACACACACACAAACAAACCACACCACACACACACACCACACCACACCACACACACAAACACACAAACTGTTAACACAGTGTGCTAGTGGTGTGTTTGAGAAGGAACTTTGGCCTTTTTCCAAGTCAGATTTTGTTTTCCTTTACATTTGTAGTAACAGACATGCACGACGGCCCTACCGTGCAGGGTATTGTGGCTAGAAAGGTCATGCAAACTCTAAAAGGAATGCATGTGGCTAAATATCATACATTGTTAGAGGAAAATATAGCAATTACAGGCTAGAAAAGGTCAGTCCAGAAATATATTTCTTACATATGAAGGTATAGCATTTTTTTTTTCCATTGTTTAATATTCCGTTGGCATCATCAAAGGGACATCAAGTGTCTTTAATGCATGTAAAATGGTATATCATGTTGTAGCCTTCTGTGATTTTCATTATATATGGAAATATGTTTTACAATTATGCCGTTCGAGAAACTGCTACTTGTTTTTGTTCCCGCAGTTCACAGTACTTCTACTGTAATTATGAATGTTCCCACAGCCTTATCCTAGCCTTAACCATGCACACAGACACAGACACACACACAGACACACACACAGAGACACACACAGAGACACACAGACACACACACACACACACACACACACAGAGAGAGAGACACAGACACACACACACTCTGTGATGTGTAGCTCAGTTGGTAGAGCATGGCGCTTGCAATGCCAGGGTTGTGGGTTCGAGTCCCACGGGGGGCCAGTATGAAAATGTATGCACTCACTAACTGTAAGTCGCTCTGGATAAGAGCGTCTGCTAAATGACTAAAATATTTTAAAAAAAAAAAAATATATATATATATATAGCCTTCCGAAGGGGGCAAAGTTCTACTGGAACTGCCTAAGGAAAGACTGTCTGTCTTGGCATAGCCAAGTCACCTTATGACACTTTGAGACATTGCTGCTGTAAAACACATCACAATCAGCCTGGCTGATACAGAAAGCCAGTAGGTCAGTACTGCATCTCTGCCACAGCCGCCGTGAGAAAGAGACTACTCAACACCTGCTACTCTGACCTAATATGTGTGCCAGACATGCCACCAGGGGTCTTTTCACAGTCCCCAAATTCAGAACAAATTCAAGAAAGCGTACAGTATTATATAGAGCCATTATTGCATGGAACTCCGTTCCTTCTCATTTGCTCAAATAAACAGCAAACCTGTTTTTAAAAAAACTAACAGATAAAGCAACACCTCACGGCACAACGCCTCTCCCCTATTTGACCTAGATAGTTTGTGTGTATGTATTGATATGTAGGCTTCGTGTGCCTTTAAAAAAAATTATGTAGTTCTGTCCTTGAGCTGTTCTTGTCTATTAATGTTCTGTATTATGTCATGTTTCATGTTTTGTGTGGACCCCAGGAAGAGTAGCTGCTGCTTTTGCAACAGCTAATGGGGATCCTAATAAAATACCAATACCAAGTGTCTGTTAAGCAATTCAATGACTGGATGCATCCTAACCAGATGTCACCTGAAGTCATTATGGAAACTAATGTAACAAGCTGCTGTTCTATCTCTTTGGCAGGTGTTGTGCTGCTGGCTCCAGCGCTTCCTTCCTCATTGTGTTGTCTGGGGTCTCCTGAGGATCCTGTGCTTTGCAAATAGAGATCAATGACTCACGCAGCAGTCAACAGCAAACACCAAACCTCATCAAAGGGATCACTACAACTCTATTCACTGATGTTCTACTACTCTATGCACTCATAAAGAGCTTTAGTTCGATACAAGCTGGAATTCTGTGTGGTTTTGATGGGCATGGAGCCATGGGCTAAGAGGCCACACTGAAGTGGGACAGGTTTTAGACTAGTCCTTTATCTGGTTGCGTGGGGGAATGTTAGTGTTCAGTAGCCAAGTCAAACCAATGAATGAAGTGCTGTGAATTCCAAGCTGATAAGACCAACAGTGGAATTCTGACAGACTTACCCTTGTAGGCTACTCAGGCACCTCAGAATCCCCCGGTGGAACTCCAGTGGTTTAGTCCCAGCCTGTGCTCTCAACAAGCAGTGCGCTCTCCCTGCACCATCTCGCCTCCATCTGTAAGTCACAAGTATCTCATAACTTTACGGGGGAGGGGAAAACTCCAGCAGCTCCTCCTTAACTCTAAACACACAGTCCACTTCCTTGTCTGCAGCTGCCTGTAAGTTAACTATTTTCCCCTTCTCATACTGTCCAACGGTTGGTACTAGCTCTCCTTAGTGAGAGAGGGTATCTCAGAAGGGTATCTGCCCACTGCACTGCAGCACAGAGGTGTTTACCACCTAGTGGAACACCTTCAGCTTGGTTCAGGAAACTGAATTAAAGGGACAAAGAAACTGGTTCTGCAATTTACTAACAGGCAGGATGAATGAGCACTATCAATCTGGTTATGAAAAGTGCCCTGGCTGTGAAAGCTTAGGGAGGGCATTGTCTCTCAACAAGCAAAAAAAAAAACGACAAATAAGGGATATGTACAAATCATAAATGAATCCATGTATTCAATGAACTGAGTGTAAAAAATGTCCCACAATGGTGAACATTTCAGATACTCATCAATTAGCTTGGGATTTAAGCTAATCAAATGTGCTGTTCAAATTTGATACAAATATTCCACATATAGAAATAAAACAGTTTCTATCTCTATGCATTCTGTATTCCGCAACACAGCCTAAATCATTCGCAACCCAATGAAATAAAGCATTATACATTACAGCTACTTTTAGTAGCAGACCCATCAATATAAATACTACTAGATTTAGTGACCACACTGTACCAATATTGTTCTAAAAGTCATTGTTATTACATTTCACAAGTTCACCTGCAGTATGAAAGTCCACTAACTGTTACACCAGTGCAGAAATTACAATATATTTATGGATACAAAAAATGGTTGTGCTGTGCACAAGGCTATGTTACAATAATTATTACGCTAATTATGCATTACACAGGAATGTAGACGCGAGAACTCCTACCACCGTGCGGCGCTGTGGCCGCAGAAGTGTATTTTGCTGTCATTGTTTCACTCAACTCAAATGTGTTTCCGGGTAGCTAGCTAGTAGCTAACAGAGCTGTCAAGGTAGGCAACGTGAAAGTTTAAATAACTATCCAAAACTGTGACAAGTTCGGAAAAGTGTCTTAGTCTGACATTTTATGCAGAAATGGACTGACGACTTATTTTTCAACGAACTAGTGTCGTGCATTCACATTTAAGCAACGACCCGTGCCCTTGCTAAGCTAGCATCCAGCAATGCCTCTCGTCGGAGCAAACCAACCACAATTGATTCGTTCAAGTCAGAAGGACGAATATTATCAACACTGTCTCAGGAACAACACGAATGAAGCTTTCCAGACTCTTGCAGGCAAGTAGGCAGGATACACAGCTATCGCCTACATGACAATGTAGAACATAGCTATGCATGCATTACCCCATTCATAGACGTAAACTTATTTAGCGCCTATTGACGATAGTGACGTTATAGTCGCTCTGGATAAGAGCGTCTGCTAAATAACTAAAATGTAAATCTTCTTTACCGGGGACTTTTGTTAAAGAGCCCCGACGCTCGGTCTGAATGTTGCGAACGTTTGCGGTACTGTTTTGGAAACATAAGGAACGTGTTTTTCATATCAGCGAGAACAATTTTTTTAAAATTACTATTCTACACACCTTTATAAAGTTAGGGTTAATGTTCCCACATGGCCATATCTCCATGTTACAGCGCTTGTTAACGGAAGACATAGGCGGCCACCTGTGCTAATTACAGTAGCTATCTAGCCTGCTCCGAACACCTGGTGTAAGCGTAACTGGGGAGGAAGTGTAGTTCCTCAACTGGAGGCACACACAGTGTATGGATCTGTGCAAAACTGCTACTGTAAGTGTATATTTTATTTTAATTTATTGCAGACATGAAAGATATGTTAAGAAAACCGTTTCGTAGGCGATGATTATGTCGTAGAAATACTTCTCAAATATATCTCTCAGACACTGGAGCTTGTGAGTTTAGAATATACTTTATTACAAAGTAACAAGCCGAGCTGATCCGCGGAGCAACTGCCAGTCCCAGACTTGGAGCTCTCTTTTTATACAGCTTCATCTTTTCATATCATATAGGAACCCCCTCTTTATCCAAATAGCCACCCTCCCTTGACCTTGAGCCACTATGGTTTCTTTGTCTAGCCTCTTTCCTGTCTATGCCCATGTCTGCTTGGTTTCCCGTCCTCTTGCCTGGCTATTGGTGGCGTGATAAAGACAGTTGCTTTAAAAATAATATACATACACACCTGATGCTAATTATATAGTACATTAATTACTGCAGTCACAATGTGGTTGTCCAGTCATGCATCTGGATTACAAAATGTTTCATCATGTTTCATACATAATAGACAGGTGTAGTCACTAATCCTCTTTTAAACCCATAATGATTCTGCTTATTGTTAAATGATTTTATAATATATGTAATGGAAAAATACTTATAATTATTGATGTTTCTAAACATTAAAACACATCGTCGGAATTGTAGTTCACACAAGCCTAACGTGGGCAAATGTAACTCTACATACAGAGAAGGGTTTTCAAGAGCTATGCATGCATAAGCTATATCCTGCTTTATAATAGCTATTATTCTTACAGTAGCTAGCTAGCTACGTTTTTCTTAACTCCTACAGGGTCCAAGAGATGGCTGCACTGGAGAAAAGAGATCCAACTCCTGTCAGACCTTGCATACTATGGTTTAACCACATTCTCAGGTAGGTAAACAAACATACTGTGTTCAAATCTGACAGGCAGGCATGCCATCAAAGACAGACCAGGGGCATCCATTGTTAATGCTACAATGCCACCTAACCACACGTCCTTGCTGTCCCTCCCTGTGTCATCCAGGGTACCAGACGTTGGGTGAGGAGTATGTCAGTATCATCCAAGTGGACCCCACCCTGCGCAGGGTACCGTCGCGCGTCAGACGAGGAGCCCTGGTGCTCCTCCACAGCCTGTTTCCTTACCTACTGGACAAGCTGCTGGTGTGCCTGGAGAATGAGCTGGAGGCGGGGGAGGAAAGCCTGGGAGGGGGAGGCCGGAGAGCAGCAGTGACCAGTCCCTGGAGCCCCGGAGCCTGGATGAGAGGCTGGGTCCGGAGGGCGGTGGGGCTGCTGACAGAGCCCCAGAGGAGGGCGTGCGTGCCGGCCGTGTTGGTCCTCCAGCAGGGACTCTCCATCCTCCACCGGGTGCACGTGGCCCTGTTTTACATCAGCGGGGCCTTCTACCACCTGGGGAAGAGGACGGCCGGAGTCAGCTATGTAGGTATTTGTGTGAGAACCTATTCAGTAGTGTACCGTAGCAAAACTTTTTGCAATGTAAAACAAAAACAAACATATCTTTTTGGACAAGTTCAGGTAATCCCTCCCTGTTTCAGTCCGTTTTCTTACTAGCTGAACTTTATTGTTTTCCGTTGCAAAACGTTTTGCTACAGTGTGCCCTAATGAATATGACCCATGTCTCAGTGTTAGGAATGTATGCTTCAGCATGGCATTTCTCACCATTCTGTCTTTCCCTGGTTGGTTAGCTACGGGTGCGTGGTGTGACGGGGGATGACGGGGCCGTCCGGAGCAGCTACAGGCTCCTGGGCGTGGTCTCCCTGCTGCAGCTGGCCCTCACGCTGGCCCTGCAACTCAACAACCTCCGGCAGAGACAGAGAGCCAGGCAGGAGTGGAGACAACACAGGAACCTGACCTCCAGGTACACTGCAATAGGACACTGTAGGAATAATAGAATGAACACTGGCTGGCTTGGTCACGCTGAAAATCTGCTACCATATCTATCAATATGCCTTTGAGTCCATATACCTTTCTTGGTCCTGGTCCTGGGGGCCCATCAAGCCTCTCATTGAGGTTGGGTGGGTGGGACCCCTTTGGGTCCCCGGGAAGCACTGTTTATGAAAACATTCAAATTCTGAGATTGATACTATTTAATTGCGAAGCCGTAGTTCAAGTTTTTCAACTCAAGTTGGTAATTTCCTTGATGTACACATGCCCCCATGCATTTTTTTGAATGTGAATATTGAGATACGCATATGAATTTCACATATGCATGCGTTTTAAAATGTACCCGTAATTGTGTGTGTCCAGGTCCCAGTCTGTAGAAGAGACTGACTCACCCCGTACCTCTCGCTGTAACCTGTGTCTGGAGGAGAGGAGGCACTCGACCTCCACTCCGTGTGGCCATCTGTTCTGCTGGGAGTGCATCACAGAGTGGTGCAACACCAAGGTGAGACCATAGATACATTAAATGACTACTGTTCTATGTCCAATTGAATTATGTGAGTGAAACGCTACGCTCTATAAAGGGTACCGTTTGACTGCTAGAACAGTGGCACAGTCCAGAAACGACCTCTACCCCGTAGGCACTTGTGTAGGTCTGACAGGACTGGAGAGGTATAATATTCCACATAGCTAGCCTATCAGAGTGAATGTTCCGCCTAGCTAGCCTATCAGAGTGAATGTTCCGCCTAGCTAGCCTATCAGAGTGAATGTTCCGCCTAGCTAGCCTATCAGAGTGAATGTTCCGCCTAGCTAGCCTATCAGAGTGAATGTTCCGCCTAGCTAGCCTATCAGAGTGAATGTTCCACCTAGCTAGCCTATCAGAGTGAATGTTCCACCTAGCTAGCCTATCAGAGTGAATGTTCCGCCTAGCTAGCCTATCAGAGTGAATGTTCCACCTAGCTAGCCTATGGGAGGGTCAGTGTTCCACCTAGTAGCCTAACAGAGAAAATAAGCTCTAGATGCAGTGCATTACTATGAGTTTCTTCCTCTCAACAGACAGACTGCCCTTTATGTCGTGAGAAGTTCCAGCCTACTCGACTAGTCTACCTGAGGAACTACTAGCCGAAGAGCCAGAACCTCTGACGTGGCTGTTATTATATGGCTCACTTCCTAAATGACTGGATCGCCACATCGGACTGTTGAATCGTTAAACACAACTGTTTCTCTTTTGTCCGAGTTTAGCTATCCCTTGTTGGGGTCACGTCTGAATAGCATCTCACTTAGAGAATGGCTAGAGATCTTATTTTGGGGCGTTGATTCAGATATTGCTGTGTCAAGATATCTCCAGTATTAAAGAAAATGTGTGCATAAAGCATTTCACATTGTTTTTCTAATCAGAATGCAGAATATTATTGTAAAGATCTGTACAACACTGTCCTCAGCCCTTTTATTCTGTGTCAGGGCTACACACTGGAATAATTTGTAGGTAATGGGTATATGTTTCTTTCTTTGGTAATGTACTGTTTCTAAATTTTATGAAAATGTATAATGCAGTGCACTATATTGAGGAATCATACATGTTTCAATGGTTTGCATATGAATCATAATGTTGGATTGTATCAGTCTAACTGATCTAAATGTTTAAATTTAAAAAATATTAAACTATGCTACTTTTGTAATAAACATGCAATTATTTATGTATCTTATGTTTTATTGATAATGTGGAGACTAGTATATTGTTTACATTATGGCTGTTCTCATGGATCACTGTCAGAGATGGCTATGGAGATGCAGAGAGAGGCCCTAACAGAAGAACTCCTGGGTCAACTATCCCCGAATGGCACTGTCAGAGATGGCTATGGAGATGCAGAGAGAGGCCCTAACAGAAGAACTCCTGGGTCAACCATCCCTGAATGGCACTGTCAGAGATGGCTATGGAGATGCAGAGAGAGGCCCTAACAGAAGAACTCCTGGGTCAACTATCCCTGAATGGCACTGTCAGAGATGGCTATGGAGATGCAGAGAGAGGCCCTAACAGAATGACTCCTGGGTCACTATCCCTGAATGGCACTGTCAGAGATGGCTATGGGAATGCAGAGAGAGGCCCTAACAGAAGAACTCCTGGGGTCAACTATCCCTGAATGGCACTGTCAGAGATGGCTATGGAGATGCAGAGAGAGGCCCTAACAGAAGAACTCCTGGGTCAACTATCCCTGAATGGCACTGTCAGAGATGGCTATGGAGATGCAGAGAGAGGCCCTAACAGAAGAACTCCTGGGTCAACTATCCCTGAATGGCACTGTCAGAGATGGCTATGGAGATGCAGAGAGAGGCCCTAACAGAAGAACTCCTGGGTCAACTATCCCTGAATGGCACTGTCAGAGATGGCTATGGAGATGCAGAGAGAGGCCCTAACAGAATAACTCCTGGGTCAACTATCCCTGAATGGCACTGTCAGAGATGGCTATGGAGATGCAGAAAGAGGCCCTAACAGAAGAACTCCTGGGTCAACTATCCCTGAATGGCACTGTCAGAGATGGCTATGGAGATGCAGAGAGAGGCCCTAACAGAAGAACTCCTGGGTCAACTATCCCTGAATGGCACTGTCAGATCGACCCATTAGTTTAAACGCACACAGTCACATCGGTAACATTGCGTTTGTTGACAGGAGGCGCCAGTGGTAAATGTCTTGGTGAAAGAGGTATGTCTGCAGTTCATCAGTCCTTGCCTGTGGTACGTTAGCACACGTGTGTGTGTGTGTGTGTGTGTGTGAGTGAGAGAATTTGTGCGGCAGGTAGCTTAGTGGGTAAGAGCGTTGTGCCAGTAACCGAAAGGTCGCTGGTTCTAATCCCCGAGCCGACTAGGTGAAAAATCTGTCGATGTGCCCTTAAGCAAGGCACTTAACCCAAATTGCTCCTGTAAGTCGCTCTGGATAAGAGCTTCTGCTAAATGACACAAAAAAAAAGTGTGTGTTTGTGAAGTGTGTGTGTAACATGAGTGAGTGTCCCTGGGCACGGGCACTCTAACACATTTATTTTGTTTGAGCGGCCTCCTGACGCTGCAGAGATTCATTAATATGCCATTTAGCAGACGCTTTTATCCAAAGCGACTTACAGTCATGCGTGCATACATTTTTTTTGTGTATGGGTGGTCCCGGGGATCAAACCCACTACCTTGGCGTTACAAGCGCCGTGCTCTACCAGCTGAGCTACAGAGGACCACGCCCCAGTCTTGTGGAAACAATAGAGGTCAGGTCAAGAGGATTGTGGGGCTCCTTGGCTGCATTGAGATAGGCAGCCCAATTCTGATCTTTGGTATTTTAAACAAATCAGATCAGTTCTGAAAAAGATCTGATGTGAAAGAGCTGATAGATGCTCATTTGACCAAACAGAAAATAATTGGTTGAAAAAAAAGCTGAAAAAGGAGATTGATGTGCAAACCTTTTACCAGCGAGACGTCCTCATGCTTGTTTTGCTGTTGCAGGGACACGGATAAAACATAAACAAAGGCTCCAAAAACACCCCAAAATGTCCTTTGAGAAAATAGTGATGCAGGTCTGTAGGTGGTGTACACATTAAACTATGTCATTCCGAACTTTATCCACAATGTTATATTCAATTTTGTTGGACTCGAGCGATACTTCTCCGTTTGCGAGTCTCGCTCCCATTGTAGTGATAAAAAGCTTGCGCATGCTCGCACATGGAAAATTATTGCTTGAGTCCATCAAAATGGAAACGTTGCGGATAAAGTTTTAAATGAAACTGTTTCACGTGTACAACATCTAAAGACCTTTGTTCATTGTTTAATCTGTGCCCCTGCAACTACAGAACGAGCATGGGGAAGTCTACCACTGGTACGTTTCTCAAAACCAAGTGGTAATGTGATGTGTATTAGGTGGGGAGATGGTAAAAAAAAAAACAACACAGAGTTACATATGGGGTAAAACAAAACATAAAGTCAAAAATAAAACAGAAAATATATGATGATGTGATGTGTATTAGGTGAGGAGATGGTGATGTGTATTAGGTGGGGAGATGGTAATGTGATGTGTATGCCTCTTAATTGCCCATGAGTTGTGCTGCTTCAGGACATGGGACCAGCAGTGGAGGTCACACACACGGGCCAGCGATAATTCGTCTAGCCACGCTAGCTTCGCCAAGAGTGGCTTGCAAGCCGACAGCATGCTAGTTAGTGCTAGATATCAACAGCCAATCTAGTAGGGTCTGGAAGCTATAGTGATCTTCGATTAGGTATCAACAGCCCATCTAGTAGGGGCTGGAAGCTATAGTGATCTTCGATTAGGTATCAACAGCCCATCTAGTAGGGGCTGGAAGCTATAGTGATCTTCGATTAGGTATCAACAGCCCATCTAGTAGGGGCTGGAAGCTATAGTGATTTTCAGTTAGGTGTCAACAGCCCATCTAGTAGGGGCTGGAAGCTATAGCGATCTTCGATTAGGTATCAACAGCCCATCTAGTAGGGGCTGGAAGCTATAGTGATCTTCAATTAGGTATCAACAGCCCATCTAGTAGGAGCTGGAAGCTATAGTGATTTTCGATTAGGTATCAACAGCCCATCTAGTAGGAGCTGGAAGCTATAGTGATTTTCGATTAGGTATCAACAGCCCATCTAGTAGGGGCTGGTAGCTATAGCGATCTTCGATTAGGTATCAACAGCCCATCTAGTAGGGGCTGGAAGCTATAGCGATTTTCGATTAGGTATCAACAGCCCATCTAGTAGGGGCTGGAAGCTATAGTGATTTTCGATTAGGTATCAACAGCCCATCTAGTAGGGGCTGGAAGCTATAGCGATCTTCGATTAGGTATCAACAGCCCATCTAGTAGGAGCTGGAAGCTATAGTGATCTTCGATTAGGTATCAACAGCCCATCTAGTAGGGGCTGGAAGCTATAGTGATCTTCGATTAGGTATCAACAGCCCATCTAGTAGGGGCTGGAAGCTATAGTGATCTTCGATTAGGTATCAACAGCCCATCTAGTAGGGGCTGGAAGCTATAGTGATCTCGATTAGGTATCAACAGCCCATCTAGTAGGGGCTGGAAGCTATAGTGATCTTCAATTAGGTATCAACAGCCCATCTAGTAGGGGCTGGAAGCTATAGTGATTTTCAATTAGGTATCAACAGCCCATCTAGTAGGGGCTGGAAGCAATAGTGATTTTCAATTAGGTATCAACAGCCCATCTAGTAGGGGCTGGAAGCTATAGCGATCAGGTATCAACAGCCCATCTAGTAGGGGCTGGAAGCTATAGTGAACTTCAATTAGGTATCAACAGCCCATCTAGTAGGGGCTGGAAGCTATAGTGATCTTCAATTAGGTATCAACAGCCCATCTAGTAGGAGCTGGAAGCTATAGTGATTTTCGATTAGGTATCAACAGCCCATCTAGTAGGAGCTGGAAGCTATAGTGATTTTCGATTAGGTATCAACAGCCCATCTAGTAGGGGCTGGTAGCTATAGCGATCTTCGATTAGGTATCAACAGCCCATCTAGTAGGGGCTGGAAGCTATAGCGATTTTCGATTAGGTATCAACAGCCCATCTAGTAGGGGCTGGAAGCTATAGTGATTTTCGATTAGGTATCAACAGCCCATCTAGTAGGGGCTGGTAGCTATAGCGATCTTCGATTAGGTATCAACAGCCCATCTAGTAGGGGCTGGAAGCTATAGTGATCTTCAATTAGGTATCAACAGCCCATCTAGTAGGGGCTGGAAGCGATAGGTATCAACAGCCCATTAGGAGGGGCTGGAAGCTAATAAGTGATCTTCCTATGTAGGCTCAACAGCCCATCTAGTAGGGGCTGGAAGCTATAGCGATCAGGTAATCAACAGCCCATCTATAGGGGCTGGAAGCTTAAGTGATTCTTTCCGATTAGGTATCAACAGCCCATCTATGGAGGGGCTGGAAGCTATAGCGACTCTTCGATTAGGTATCAACAGCCCATCTAGTAGGGGCTGGAAGGCTATAGCGATCCTTCGATTAGGTATCAACAGCCCATCTAGTATGGGGCTGGAAGCTTAATAGCGATTTTCGATTAGGGTATCAACAGCCCATCTAGGTAGGGGCTGGAAGCTATAGCGATCTTCGATTAGGTATCAACAGCCCATCTAGTAGGGGCTGGAAGCTATAGCGATCAGGTATCAACAGCCCATCTAGTAGGGGCTGGAAGCTATAGTGATCTTCGATTAGGTATCAACAGCCCATCTACATTTACATTTTTGTCATTTAGCAGACGCTCTTATCCAGAGCGACTTACAATTAGTGAGTGCATACAGTATTATTATTAATTTTTTTTTTTCATACTGAACCCCTCGTGGGAATCGAACCCACAACCCTGGCGTTGCAAACACCATGCTCTACCAACTGAGCTACATCCCTGCCGGCCATTCCCTCCCCTACCCTGGACGACGCTGGGCCAATTGTGCGCCGCCCCATGGGTCTCCCGGTCGCGGCCGGCTACGACAGAGCCTGGATTCGAACCAGGATCTCTAGTGGCACAGCTAGCACTGCGATGCAGTGCCTTAGACCACTGCGCCACTCGGGAGACTACATCTAGTAGGGGCTGGAAGCTATAGTGATCTTCAATTAGGTATCAACAGCCCATCTAGTAGGGGCTGGAAGCTATAGTGATCTTCAATTAGGTATCAACAGCCCATCTAGTAGGGGCTGG